AAAAATGACCAGAAAAAAAGGTATGGAAAAAGGGAAAAAGCTGAAAAAAATCTTTTTTTCGATGAGAATTCAAAATTCACTTTTTGGCCTCCCCCTTGCACTTAAAAACAATCAGAAAATTACAGATTTTTTTCCTGGACCTTAAAAATGACCAGAAAAAGGTATGGAAAAAAAGAAAAAGCTGAAAAATCTTTTTTTCGATGAGAATTCAAAATTCACTTTTTGGCCTCCCCTTGCACTTAAAACAATCAGAAAATTACAGATTTTTTTCCTGGACCTTAAAAATGACCAGAAAAAAAGGTATGGAAAAAAAGAAAAAAAGCTGAAAAATTGTCTTCGATAAGAAGTCAAAATTCACTTTTTGGCCTCCCCTTGCACTTAAAAACAATCAGAAAATTACAGATTTTTTTCCTGGACCTTAAAAATGACCAGAAAAAAAGGTATGGAAAAAAAGAAAAAGCTGAAAAATCTGTTTTCGATGAGAATTCAAAATTCACTTTTTGGCCTCCCCCTTGCACTTAAAAACAATCAGAAAATTACAGATTTTTTTCCTGGACCTTAAAAATGACCAGAAAAAAAGGTATGGAAAAAAAGAAAAAAAGCTGAAAAATCTTTTCTTTCGATGAGAATTCAAAATTCACTTTTTGGCCTCCCCTTGCACTTAAAACAATCAGAAAAATTACAGATTTTTTTCCTGGACCTTAAAAAAATGACCAGAAAAAAAGGTATGGAAAAAAAGAAAAAAAGCTGAAAAATTGTCTTCGATAAGAAGTCAAAATTCACTTTTTGGCCTCCCCCTTGCACTTAAAACAATCAGAAAATTACAGATTTTTTTCCTGGACCTTAAAAATGACCAGAAAAAGGTATGGAAAAAGAAAAAGCTGAAAATTGTCTTCGATAAGAAGTCAAAATTCACTTTTTGGCCTCCCCCTTGCACTTAAAACAATCAGAAAATTACAGATTTTTTTCCTGGACCTTAAAAATGACCAGAAAAAGGTATGGAAAAAGAAAAAGCTGAAAATTGTCTTCGATAAGGAGTCAAAATTCACTTTTTTTGGCCTCCCCTTGCACTTAAAAACAATCAGAAAATTACAGATTTTTTTCCTGGACCTTAAAAATGACCAGAAAAAAAGGTATGGAAAAAGAAAAAAAGCTGAAAAATCTTTTTTTCGATGAGAATTCAAAATTCACTTTTTTTGGCCTCCCCTTGCACTTAAAAACAATCAGAAAATTACAGATTTTTTTCCTGGACCTTAAAAATGACCAGAAAAAAAGGTATGGAAAAAGAAAAAAAGCTGAAAAATCTTTTTTTCGATGAGAATTCAAAAATTCACTTTTTGGCCTCCCCTTGCACTTAAAACAATCAGAAAATTACAGATTTTTTTCCTGGACCTTAAAAAAATGACCAGAAAAAAAGGTATGGAAAAAAAGAAAAAAAGCTGAAAAATTGTCTTCGATAAGAAGTCAAAATTCACTTTTTGGCCTCCCCCTTGCACTTAAAAACAATCAGAAAATTACAGATTTTTTTCCTGGACCTTAAAAATGACCAGAAAAAAAGGTATGGAAAAAAAGAAAAAAAGCTGAAAATTGTCTTCGATAAGAAGTCAAAATTCACTTTTTGGCCTCCCCTTGCACTTAAAAACAATCAGAAAATTACAGATTTTTTTCCTGGACCTTAAAAATGACCAGAAAAAGGTATGGAAAAAGAAAAAGCTGAAAATTGTCTTCGATAAGAAGTCAAAATTCACTTTTTGGCCTCCCCCTTGCACTTAAAACAATCAGAAAATTACAGATTTTTTTCCTGGACCTTAAAAATGACCAGAAAAAGGTATGGAAAAAGAAAAAGCTAAAAATCTTTTTCGATGAGAATTCAAAATTCACTTTTTGGCCTCCCCCTTGCACTTAAAACAATCAGAAAATTACAGATTTTTTTCCTGGACCTTAAAAATGACCAGAAAAAGGTATGGAAAAAGAAAAAGCTAAAAATCTTTTTCGATGAGAATTCAAAATTCACTTTTTGGCCTCCCCCTTGCACTTAAAACAATCAGAAAATTACAGATTTTTTTCCTGGACCTTAAAAATGACCAGAAAAAGGTATGGAAAAAGAAAAAGCTGAAAATTGTCTTCGATAAGGAGTCAAAATTCACTTTTTGGCCTCCCCCTTGCACTTAAAAACAATCAGAAAATTACAGATTTTTTTCCTGGACCTTAAAAATGACCAGAAAAAAAGGTATGGAAAAAAAGAAAAAAAGCTGAAAATTGTCTTCGATAAGGAGTCAAAATTCACTTTTTGGCCTCCCCTTGCACTTAAAAACAATCAGAAAATTACAGATTTTTTTCCTGGACCTTAAAAATGACCAGAAAAAAAGGTATGGAAAAAGAAAAAAAGCTGAAAAAAATCTTTTTTTCGATAAGAAGTCAAAAATTCACTTTTTGGCCTCCCCTTGCACTTAAAAACAATCAGAAAATTACAGATTTTTTTCCTGGACCTTAAAAATGACCAGAAAAAAAGGTATGGAAAAAAAGAAAAAAAGCTGAAAAATCTTTTTTTCGATGAGAATTCAAAATTCACTTTTTGGCCTCCCCCTTGCACTTAAAAACAATCAGAAAATTACAGATTTTTTTCCTGGACCTTAAAAATGACCAGAAAAAAAGGTATGGAAAAAAAGAAAAAAAGCTGAAAAATTGTCTTCGATAAGGAGTCAAAATTCACTTTTTGGCCTCCCCCTTGCACTTAAAAACAATCAGAAAATTACAGATTTTTTTCCTGGACCTTAAAAATGACCAGAAAAAAAGGTATGGAAAAAGAAAAAAAGCTGAAAAATTGTCTTCGATAAGGAGTCAAAATTCACTTTTTGGCCTCCCCTTGCACTTAAAAACAATCAGAAAATTACAGATTTTTTTCCTGGACCTTAAAAATGACCAGAAAAAAAGGTATGGAAAAAGAAAAAAAGCTGAAAATTGTCTTCGATAAGGAGTCAAAATTCACTTTTTGGCCTCCCCTTGCACTTAAAAACAATCAGAAAAATTACAGATTTTTTTCCTGGACCTTAAAAATGACCAGAAAAAAAGGTATGGAAAAAAAGAAAAAAAGCTGAAAAATCTTTTTTTCGATAAGAAGTCAAAATTCACTTTTTGGCCTCCCCTTGCACTTAAAACAATCAGAAAAATTACAGATTTTTTTCCTGGACCTTAAAAATGACCAGAAAAAAAGGTATGGAAAAAAAGAAAAAAAGCTGAAAAATCTTTTTTTCGATGAGAATTCAAAATTCACTTTTTGGCCTCCCCCTTGCACTTAAAACAATCAGAAAATTACAGATTTTTTTCCTGGACCTTAAAAATGACCAGAAAAAGGTATGGAAAAAGAAAAAGCTAAAAATCTTTTTCGATGAGAATTCAAAATTCACTTTTTGGCCTCCCCCTTGCACTTAAAAACAATCAGAAAATTACAGATTTTTTTCCTGGACCTTAAAAATGACCAGAAAAAAAGGTATGGAAAAAAAGAAAAAAAGCTGAAAAATTGTCTTCGATAAGGAGTCAAAATTCACTTTTTGGCCTCCCCTTGCACTTAAAACAATCAGAAAATTACAGATTTTTTTCCTGGGCCTTAAAAATGACCAGAAAAAAAGGTATGGAAAAAAAGAAAAAAAGCTGAAAAATTGTCTTCGATAAGGAGTCAAAATTCACTTTTTGGCCTCCCCTTGCACTTAAAAACAATCAGAAAATTACAGATTTTTTTCCTGGGCCTTAAAAATGACCAGAAAAAAAGGTATGGAAAAAAAGAAAAAAAGCTGAAAAATTGTCTTCGATAAGGAGTCAAAATTCACTTTTTGGCCTCCCCCTTGCACTTAAAAACAATCAGAAAATTACAGATTTTTTTCCTGGACCTTAAAAAAATGACCAGAAAAAAAGGTATGGAAAAAAAGAAAAAAAGCTAAAAAAATCTTTTTTTCGATGAGAATTCAAAAATTCACTTTTTTTGGCCTCCCCTTGCACTTAAAACAATCAGAAAATTACAGATTTTTTTCCTGGACCTTAAAAATGACCAGAAAAAGGTATGGAAAAAGAAAAAGCTGAAAATTGTCTTCGATAAGGAGTCAAAATTCACTTTTTGGCCTCCCCCTTGCACTTAAAACAATCAGAAAATTACAGATTTTTTTCCTGGACCTTAAAAATGACCAGAAAAAGGTATGGAAAAAGAAAAAGCTGAAAATTGTCTTCGATAAGAAGTCAAAATTCACTTTTTGGCCTCCCCCTTGCACTTAAAACAATCAGAAAATTACAGATTTTTTTCCTGGGCCTTAAAAATGACCAGAAAAAGGTATGGAAAAAGAAAAAGCTGAAAATTGTCTTCGATAAGGAGTCAAAATTCACTTTTTGGCCTCCCCCTTGCACTTAAAAACAATCAGAAAATTACAGATTTTTTTCCTGGGCCTTAAAAATGACCAGAAAAAAAGGTATGGAAAAAAAGAAAAAAAGCTGAAAAATTGTCTTCGATAAGAAGTCAAAATTCACTTTTTGGCCTCCCCCTTGCACTTAAAAACAATCAGAAAAATTACAGATTTTTTTCCTGGGCCTTAAAAAAATGACCAGAAAAAAAGGTATGGAAAAAAAGAAAAAAAGCTGAAAAATTGTCTTCGATAAGAAGTCAAAATTCACTTTTTGGCCTCCCCTTGCACTTAAAAACAATCAGAAAATTACAGATTTTTTTCCTGGACCTTAAAAAAATGACCAGAAAAAAAGGTATGGAAAAAAAGAAAAAAAAGCTGAAAAATTGTCTTCGATAAGAAGTCAAAATTCACTTTTTGGCCTCCCCTTGCACTTAAAACAATCAGAAAATTACAGATTTTTTTCCTGGACCTTAAAAATGACCAGAAAAAAAGGTATGGAAAAAAAGAAAAAGCTGAAAATTGTCTTCGATAAGAAGTCAAAATTCACTTTTTGGCCGCGGGATCTTCTCGAAAGTCGGCTCAAATCGGGCTGCTCGTCGTCGATTTCGATCACACCGTTGTCGGATTGTTCGACCCGTTCAATTTGTTCAACCGTCTCCTTTTTGACTTCTTTCGCCTTCTGGAAAAGTGTAATTTCCTCGGAATCGTTGATTTTCTGCTTGAGAAACACAGGAAAAAACTTGAAACCCCATCAAAATTTCTCAAAAAAAAGAAAATGGAGTTTTTCTAATGGTTCAGAGTCTGAAAAATGCGCTCTAATTTTCACGAAATGGCTAAAAAAAAAGTTTTCTGTCATTTTTTTAACCAAGTTCATACTTTTTTTCGGATTTCCTTGAAGAAACGTAGGATTTAACGCATAAAAACGTCAAATTCCTCAAAAAATCCAGTTTTCATTCCCCTATGAGCCATGTTTTCACTGAAAAACCGTTAAAAATCGAAAAAAAAGTGGATTTTCTCAAAATTCATCTCAAAATCGATTGATAAACCTTCAAAAAGCCCTTCAAAATCGCTTTTTATGTCGAAAAAATGTCTATTTGAACATTTCAAACAACACAAAAAATACAGGTTCAAAAAAAATGTCAAAATTTATCCAGAAGACCATTTTTATCATTCCTAGACCCTAAAAAAGATAAAATCCTTATTTTGGGGGAAAAAAAAAGTCATTTTCTTCCATTACTTTCCCGCTTCATTTTTCAGTTTTTAGAAAAAAATAAGGCCTGAAATATGATATGACCTTCATAGTATGACGTGTTCAAAATGAATCCACAAAACTCAGAGTAACCGTCAGAGAGTGAAAAAGATAGCTGAATTCAGGAGGATCAGAGATAAATTTGAAAATGGACAAAAAAAAATGAACAAAAATGAAAAAAAATGAAAATGAGCATAATTTTGAAAGGAAGATCAAAATAGAATACATTTTGAAATAATCATGATAATTATGTATTCCTCCAAATCTCAAACCTTGGCCTTCTTTTTTTCGGGGACGGCTCCGCAGGATCAAAGGACCTGACGTCATCAAATCGAATGACGTCACCGTCTCCTGCTCGATTTTTCACTACAGTCGTCACTTTTTTTCGACTTCCGCCGGTGGGGCGGCTTGTTTTTCTCTGGAATTTTTCATAAAAAAATCTCGATTCTCTTACAACTTTTTTTGTCACCTCCACCAGGGGGGTTTGGTTTTTTTAATAAATTCATTTCTGGAGATAAAAAAATATGAAATCTGAATTTTTCTTGATTTTTTTGTCACTTCGCTTCGATTAGGGGGGCGGCCTGCAATTTTTCGAATCAAATAAAAAAATAGAGAAAAAAATCTTCCATTTCAATTTTTTTAATGAACTTCTTTCTGAGAAAAAAATATGAAAATCCGATTTTTTTCTTGATTTTTTTGTCCCTTTCACCGGGGATGGGGTTCTGGAATTTTTCTAATCAGATGAAAAAAACATAGAGAAAAAGTCTTCCATTTCGGTTTTTTTAATGGGCTAAGGTCTGGAATTTTTCGAGACGTATGAAAAAAATCTTTCATTTTCATTTGTTCAATGGGGGAATTTTTAGAATTTTTCGAAGCAAATAAAAAAAATATCTTCATTTTTTTGGTTTTTAATGGACTTCTTTCTGTAAAAAAATACATGAAAATCTCAATTTCATTTTTTTCAAACCAACCCCACTACTCCGTCGTTTTTTTGGGCGATATAACCGTTTCCACGACTTCTTCCTCAACTTTAACCGATACTACAGTTTCAGTGACCTGAAAATTAATATTTTAAACCCTTTTTTGGACTTTTAAACCTTTTCCGCTTGGGATTTTCGTGGTTTCCTGCCCTTTTTCGGTGTTGGAGTTTTGATAGGAACAGGTTCCTCTGGCTTTTCTTCAACAATTTCTTCGGTTGGAGGCTAAAAATATGAAAATTCATGTTTTTGATGCAGATTTTGTACAAAAAGTGCAGGAAATATAGCCTCAACGAGAATTTTTTTCGATTTCATGATTTTGAGGCCTTTTTTTCTTATGAAACGTACCTTAAAATGAGCTAATATGATGATAAAAAAAGATTCAAAATCCTTCTAAAATGTGCATTTTTTTCCAGCTACACATCAATTTTTTTAATCTTTATTCTACTAACCGTTGAAAGGCCATTTCCGTAAAAAAATCAGAGACTTTTATACTTTAACTTAAGCGAGCTTTAGAGCAAAAATAATGTTAGAAAAATTATGAAGCTTCTACTTAAAACTTTTAAAAAAATCATGATTTTGATGCCTCTTCCATTCAAAAAAATGCCTCGAAACTCTTAAAAAAATGCAGATTTTTTTCAGTTTTATAGCAATTTTAAATCTCTAACCTTCAAAAAACGCTTCTGTGAATATTGATTGACCCTTATACTATGGCTTAAAAAGGCTTGAAAACTTATAAAAAGACCAAAACAGGTTTTTTTCTATTTCTGAAGCTCTTTCTTACAATTTATCTAAAAATTCATGAGTTTGAGACCTTTTTCTGTTTAAAAAATGCTTCAGAATTCTTCAAAAATACAGATTTCTTCGTTTCTCAGTCCTTTTTTCTCCCTTTTGTTTTGCTAACCTTCAAAAAATCATTCTTTCTAAGTTTCTGTAACCCTATAACATTACTTTAATAAGCTTTAGAACTAAATCTATTTTTAAAAGAGCTTTTTTGAAGCTTTTCCCTAGAAATAACCTCAAAAATTGTCCCGAAAAACGGGTTTTTTTTATTATTTTTCTCGCCTCCACTACTTCCTCTTCCACTAAATCATCGATAGGTAACTTGAAAATGATCCAAATCATTTTCCTAACTCTTCATATTCATTCCTGGTTTGAAAAAAGGGCTCAAAAAGTAGCTAACTTGTTGGAAATGCTTTAAAATGAGCTTTTCTAACACAAATCTTCAAAATAAGACCGAAAACTCTCCTTTTTCTGTGAGATTTTCGCTTAAAATTGTCCTGAAAACATTTTTTATCCATTTTTTTACCTCCACAACTTCCTCCTTCTCTAAATCATCGAAATGGAGCTTTAAATTGATTCATATCATTTTTCCTAGCCCTTCATATTCAGTCCTGGTTGCAAAAAATGGCTCAAAAAGTAGCTAACTTGTTGAAAATGCTTTAAAAAGAGCTTTTTCTTACACAAATCTTCAAAAATAAGACCGAAAAAAATCTCCTTTTTTTCTGTGAGATTTTTCACTTAAAATTGTCCTGAAAAAAACATTTTTTTATCCATTTTTTTACCTCCACAACTTCCTCCTTCTCTAAATCATCGAAATGGAGCTTTAAATTGATTCATATCATTTTTCCTAGCCCTTCATATTCAGTCCTGGTTGCAAAAAATGGCTCAAAAAGTAGCTAACTTGTTGAAAATGCTTTAAAAAGAGCTTTTCTTACACAAATCTTCAAAATAAGACCGAAAAATCTCCTTTTTCTGTGAGATTTTCACTTAAAATTGTCCTGAAAAACATTTTTTATCCATTTTTTTACCTCCACAACTTCCTCCTTCTCTAAATCATCGAAATGGAGCTTTAAATTGATTCATATCATTTTTCCTAGCCCTTCATATTCAGTCCTGGTTGCAAAAAATGGCTCAAAAAGTAGCTAACTTGTTGAAAATGCTTTAAAAAGAGCTTTTCTTACACAAATCTTCAAAATAAGACCGAAAAATCTCCTTTTTCTGTGAGATTTTCACTTAAAATTGTCCTGAAAAACATTTTTTATCCATTTTTTTACCTCCACAACTTCCTCCTTCTCCTTTTCTTTCTTGGTAGAAGTCGTTGGAGTGGATTGTTCTGGAGGAACTGTTCCATTGACTACGAAATCGTAGAGGCGATCGGCAAGGGCGCCGCGGGTTCCATTGATTGGCAAGTTTCTTTCCGTTAGTTCCTGAAAATTCCGTATTTTTTTCAGTTACATAGAAATATGTATTCCCTTACTATTTTTTTCCTATTTATGAAGTCGCTAAAAAAATCAAAAAAAGTCAAAAAAATTAAATTCAATTTGAAAAAAATCCTGAAAAATATTGAAACTGAAGAAAATTATAGCATAATTATCAAGTTAATCAAAAAAATCTAGAGAAGTATAATTAAACAAATTTCTAAAATACATATTAAAATAGATGCAAATTTTGAGAAAAAAACATCAAAATTTCAAGATAAAAAGTATTAAAATTAAAGAAAAAAAATCGGAAATATGCAGTGAAACTGAACAACAAGTACTTGGATAAATACTGAAATTGAACAGAATTCTAAGAAAAAAATTAACCAAAAATTGAATCTATTTTTTTCATGATAAGTTTTCAAAAAAACCCGAAATTTAAAGGAAAGTATCGAGAATCAACAAATTTCTAAGGGTAAATATAAAGAAGAACACATTTTCAAGTTAAATAAAATAACTGAACATAATTCTGACCTTAATGATAAAATCTACCCAATTTCTAAGATTTCTATATGATCTGAACAAAGTTCTGTAATGGATATTGAACTAAATCCTAAAAAAACATTGAAATCAAACAATTTTCTGAGGTAAATTTTAAAAACTGAACAAAATTGTACGATAAAATCAAAAATTGAACATAATTCTAATTTTCCAGTGCTTGATCCACCCCAAAAACCAACCTTAATCAAGCGAGAACGATCCAAAAAAATGAGATTGTCGCCGGATTCAAACCGCCGGCCGAACCGGCGGCTCCACTGCGACGCGACGATCGCAGTGACATTTCAAATTAGACAAATATTCACTAATCGATCGTCTTCTGGACTACTAAATCTGGAAAAAAACGTTTAGTCAATTCAGTTACAAAAAATTTGAATATAAACTCGAGAAAAAATGACAAAAACTAATGGATATATCCTGAAAATATGATAAATGAGCAGTTCAAAGTTATATTCACATTAAAAGAACCATTTCAATATTAAATTGAAGGAAAAAATTTAGAAACTATTCAAATTTCACTGATAATATGAAAAGTGCTTCACAGAGAACAAAGTACACGAAAAGGTCGTTATGCAAAAATTTGAACGTTGAGAAATTTCTTTTTTTATTTCTTCAAAAGCAAAAAAATAAAACTTACTTATCATCAGTACAATTAGCATATAGAAAACAAACATGATCAAAATTTTTATAAAAATAAATTTATATAATTTCGATAAAAATGCAAAATTAAAGAGCCCCAAATTTACGGCTAGAAAGTTACGATTTTTATTTCAAATAGTTCATCATTCAAAAGTGATCCTAAGAACAAGGGAAAAAAAAGTATAAATACCCAAACTCCCAAGAATTTTGCGCGTCTTTCTCTTTTATTGATCGGGAAGAAAACCTTTAAAATCACGTGTAAAATCAACAAATAATGTTTATAAGAACATCCCCTTATTAAATTGAATGAACCTGTACCAAGTGATTATCGAAAACATCAATAAAACGAATAAAAGCACAAAAAGAAATTTAAATTTCCAAATTCCGCGAGTTTACGCGTGACGAAAATCTGCAAAGGAAACTGTGCGGCGGGTGCGGAAAACGCCGCGCACGTTTTGCATAGACGCTTGTCAAGGACGCGAGTGCGCGAAAGAGCGGGAAAAACTCTTTTTGTCGCGGAGAAGAGGTCACTCGAGAGGTGTGATGGCTCTTCAGAGCCTATTTGAGTGGCAGAATTTACTACAATCATCTTTAGTGGCATTTTTTTGGCGCGGATAAAAGGAGACTTGGCAGACTGCCAAAAATTGTAAAATATGAAATTTTTCATCTTCCATCTCATTACTTTGTATAAAACAGTTTCAATATTCAATTTTTATTCAATTTTTTTTCATTTCAGTAAGTTTTTCTTTTTTTTAAGCAGTTGTTCCCGTAGAATCAGTTGAAGGAGCCGGTTTCTCTGTGAGTACCTGAAAAAAAACCTCTTTGATGTATTTTAAAGCCTAAAAAAGAAACTTACACTATCGGAACTCTTTTCCGTCTTATTTGTACAGCCTAATGCTTTGAGGAGCGGTCCGGGGTCGAGAGAATCGATGTCGTCGGGGAGTTTCTTAAAAAATGAATGAATTAAGAGTTTCAAAACGATGAAAAAGCCTTTGTACAGTTAAAATATAGTAATATCGTCAAGAAATTAGGAAACTCAGTGTCATTTCCTCAAGTTTCATCAAAAAAATTGAACTAAAAGTTTCAATTTTTTTCAAAAAAATTTGGGAAAAAAAAATTCAAAATTCAACTTCACTAAACTACTTTTTTTCTGACCGGACTGTGAAAAAAGAAAATTTAAGTTAAATTTTTCAAAAAAACGGGTCATTTTATACTATTAACTATCCATTAGCAACACTAAAAAAACTATAGAAAATTAAATAAATCGATTTTTTTCGAAAGAAAATTGGAATTTCAAAAATGCGGCTTTCAACACTGTTTTTTTCAACTAAATAACTCTACAATACTTTGATGCACAGGTCTGCCTACCGTAACCCAGCTACAGTAATGGGGAATGGCTCAAGCTATTTTGAAAGGATTTTTATCGAAAAGTCGCTTTTTCGCAACCGTTTTATAGCTTTTTCTTTCAAATTTGAGCTCGCTTTTTCCAAATAAGCCATTCCAAATGCGACCAAAGGTCATTATTTTACCTTGTTCTTGGTTTCCGGGAGGACGAATACAACTGAGGCGCCGATCATCGACATGATCGCGATCATCAATGTCGGAGCATTAGGATTCACGGATTCCTGAAAAAAAAATCGATAACTGAACTTTTACGATTTTTTTCATACCAAACGCTTAACATATGGAGCAAGGACGCCACCAATATCTCCAACAAATTCCAGAATTCCGCAGAAAACGTTCCGAATCGAGGTCGGGGTGCTCTAAAAAGTCGAAAAATGTGAAAAGCTTGAAACTTTGTGACTTGAAAATTTTAAAAATTCGAAAAAACTGCAAAAAATCCTCTTCAAGAGCCTTCACTTTTTGATAAAAAACTTCAATTTTTCCATTTTTTCACATAACTGATTCAAGGCTAGCTCAAGCATCAAAAATGGGTCTTGACACGAATGAAAATGAGATAGTGACTGGTTTGTGGAGAGCGCAGAGAGGCCACGCCCCTTTTCGTCCGATAATCTCTTAAGTGGCCACTAGGAAACTCACAAGATCATTTAACCTTCTTCATAACTCACAGTTCTACCGTGACGAGTGAATTTAGTAAGAGACCCTGGGAGGAAGTTTTAGTGGTCCCTCTAGTGACTTCTAGATTGGCTAAAACCTTTTAAGGGATCCCTAGGATACGAATGAGACCTTGCGAAACCTCTTAAGTAGCCCCTAGAGTTTTCCCAGCCTTAAAGACCCCTCAGTGGTCCCTTTAGTGTCCCCTCGAAGTAGAGACAGTGTATGGTTGATAGAGAACGCAGACAGGCCACGCCCGATAACCTCTTAAGTGGCCACTAGGAATCTAATGAGATAATTCAACCTTTTTCAGAACTCGATGCGCGTTAAGCGCTCATTTGCAGTTAAAAGTCCTAGGAAAAGTTGAAGTGGCCACTTTAGTGCCCTCTCGGTTGGCTAAAACCTCTTAAGCGGCCCTTAGGATCCGAAAGAGACCTTCAGGAACCTCTCAAGTAGTCCCTTAAGTTTTCCAAGCCTGATCAAAACTTCTAAGCCTTCAAGGCACCTCTGAAGGGTTCACTAAAGTGATTTTTATACCTCGCTGTAGAGCAACTGTTGAGAGTTCCAAGCCATCGCATTGAAAAGTTTAGCCAGTAACGGGAATACAATTTTGACGTGTTCGGGAACTGGAAAAAATTGAATGAAAATAGTCCTTATGGGAATGGCTCGACGCGACGCGGTCGCGTTGCGTCCTGATGATTGAATTCAGTACTCTTTCTAAAACTGCGCCCGACCTTGAGCGACTTCGCGTGTGTTATAGGCGACTTGGGACTGCTGTTTTTCTCTGCGCCCTCCTCGTCTCTCATGCTATTTTCATTTTTCTCTCCTGTGAGGGAACAAAGAGACGCAGACACGCGAAAACTCTAGAACCGCAACGCGACCGCGACGCTTGAGCCATTCCAAATGCGGTCGAAAACCTGGCGCATACAGAGCCATGAGCATGCAAACCGACTGAAGGGCCAGTGAGACTATGGAAACTGTCCGGCGGTTCAATTTCACCTGAAAAATCCTATTTTTCGAGAAAATCGATAAAATGAACAAACCAGAAGATAAACGGAAAGCAAAGCCGCCGGGATTTCGACAAGGCCGGACAGGAAAAATCCGGTCCATTTGTCTTCGCTGAGTTCGGTTGAGAAGAGTGACAGAGCCCAGTAAGTTCCGTTCAGTATAATCCTCAAAATAGGAGGTTTTTAGCGTTTAAAGGTCCATAGTTCATTCATGGTTCGCTTAAAAAAATAGCGTTCAAAAACGAGAGGTTTAGACACGTAGAGCTTTTCTTGAGAAAATAGTGTTTGAAAAGGAGAGGTTTAGACGCGCAGAGCTTTGCTTGAGAAAAGAGTATTCCAAAACGAGAGGATTAGACGCGCAGAGCTTCTCTTGAGGAAATAGTGTATAAGAACGAGAGGTTTAGACGCGCAGAGCTTTGCTTGAGAAAAGAGTATTCCAAAACGAGAGGATTAGACGCGCAGAGCTTCTCTTGAGGAAATAGTGTTTAAGAACGAGAGGTTTAGACGCGCAGAGCTTTTCTCGAGAAAATAGAGTTCTAAAACGAGATTTTTAGACGCGCAGAGCTTTGCTTGAGAAAAGAGTATTCCAAAACGAGAGGATTAGACGCGCAGAGCTTCTCTTGAGGAAATAGTGTTTAAGAACGAGAGGTTTAGACGCGCAGAGCTTTTCTCGAGAAAATAGAGTTCTAAAACGAGATTTTTAGACGCGCAGAGCTTTGCTTGAGAAAAGAGTATTCCAAAACGAGAGGATTAGACGCGCAGAGCTTCTCTTGAGGAAATAGTGTTTAAGAACGAGAGGTTTAGACGCGCAGAGCTTTTCTCGAGAAAATAGAGTTCTAAAACGAGATTTTTAGACGCGCAGAGCTTTTCTAAAGGAAATAGCGTTCGAAAACGAGAGGTTTAGACGTGCAGTGTTTTGTCACAAGCCAAAAGCTCACTTTTCTGAATTTTTCACGACTTTAACCTTTGTGCCCGACCCTCCCGACTTCGCCAAGGCCTAGAGACAACAGGAAGCAGAGAGAGAGAGAGAGCGTTAGAGAGCTCGAAAAATAATAGCATGCAAAAGTAGGAGGGTACGCTCGCGTGTCTGCGTCTCTCTGTTTCCTCACCGGCGATGGAAATAGCACGTAAACATGAGAGAGGCGTCGAGAGATGAGGAGGGCGCAGAGAAGATCCGTCAAGCGATTTCAAACTTTGCGTTGGACCGATTGTACCAAGTCAAAAGCGAGAGACAACAGGAAGTGTGGAGACAATTAGAGAAATTTCCAAATGCGAGAGATAACAGGAAGTTTGGAGAGCATTAGAGAAATATCCAAATGCGAGAGACTATAGGAGGTTTGGAGAGCATTAGAGAAATAACCAAATGCGAGAGATAACAGGAAGTGTGGAGAGAGTTAGAGAAATTTCCAAATGCGAGAGATAACAGGAAGTGTGGAGAGAGTTAGAGAAATTTCCAAATGCGAGAGATAACAGGAAGTGTGGAGAAGGTTAGAGAAATTTCCAAATGCGAGAGACAATGGGAGGTTTGGAGAGCATTAGAGAATTGTTCAAATGCGAGAGACAAGAGGAAATGTGGAGGGAGTTAGAGAAACCTTGTAGTCTCAAAGGAACAACTTCAAAATGCGGAAATATGGAGAAAAGCGCAAGTCGCGGATGGTCGGGCGAAGTTTTGAACAAGCTCTGCCTACCTCCTCTAATGCTCTCAATGTCTGCGTGTCCTATCTCTCAGCGAAGTGACGAAAAAGCGGCATGTTCTAAAACACGAGCGGTTGTGGGGCACGAGCGGCACGACCGTTACTAAATCACGAGCGGTTTCATTTTCGCTCCTTCGCGAACGCTTCTAAATCACGAGCGTTTCTAAACCGCGAGCGTTTCATTTTAATCATTTTCTTTATTACCATCCAAGTGTGTTTTTTTCATATTTCTACCTTCTTTTTCTCCTTGAATAAAAATTTTGACGATCTTATATGCACATTTTTTCGCTCAATTTGTTGATTGATTCACATTTGAGGTTCATATAATGGATTTTTTCTAAGTTTTTTTGCGGTCTCTATAATTTCACAGATTCTGCGTATGGCAAATTTTTTTTCTAATAATTTCATCTGATTTTCATATTCAATATTTCACAGATTTTGCGTATGATAAACTAATATTTCACAGATGTCTCGCATGAAAGTCAATATTCTAGCGGGTAAGAGGAGAATAAAATATGAATGGCATCAATTCGAATATGAGATTCTATTACCAGAAAAATTTTGAGAGAAAGTATTAGAAAAAAAAATTTGCTATACGCAAAATTTGAGAAATATTGACTTTCATGCGAGACGTCTGTGAAATATTAGTTTATCATACGCAAAATCTGTGAAATATTGAATATGAAAATCAGATGAAATTATTAGAAAAAAATTTGCCATACGCAGAATCTATGAAATTATAGAGACCGCAAAAAAACTTAGAAAAAAATCCATTATATGAACCTCAAATGTGAATCAATCAACAAATTGAGCGAAAAAAAATGTGCATATAAGATCGTCAAAAATTTTTTTATTCAAGGAGAAAAAAAGAAGGTAGAAATATGAAAAAAACACACTTGGATGGTAATAAAGAAAAATGATTAAAATGAAACGCTCGCGGTTTAGAAACGCTCGAACAGAACGATAAGCCAAAAAAACGCTCGTGATTTAGAAGCGTTCGCGAAGGAGCGAAGATGAAACCGCTCGTGATTTAGTAACGGTCGTGCCGCTCGTGCCCCACAACCGCTCGTGTTTTAGAACATGCCCGAAAAAGCGCGCAAAAACGAGAGAGCGCAGAGAAACTAGATTCCTTCCAAACCGCTACGCAGCGGCGCCGCATGCGGATCCATTCCAAAACTCACAAAATGTAGGAATTGACGAGGAGATGAACGAGAAGCACGCCATTGGTGAAGATATCCAGGGCGGTCCTACGTTTCCTTTTTCTAGTCGGTTCATCGAGAAGCGACTCCTCGACGCTGACGTCATCCGTTTTGCACATATCCAAGGAGACGTCGGTCCGATTGAACTTCGAGGACTTCAGAATATACCTGAACTTTAATAAAATCCTCTGAAAAAAGTTCTGGAAACCTTCGAATTTGCTTGTTTCTCTTTTGAGTGATGAGCCAATGAGGCGATTCTGGGACCAGCCTGGAATTTCTGGATTTTGACAAGATCTTCTGTCGAACATCTTAAGTGCGCCCCATGGCTAATTTAGAGACGCAAAAAGTAGATTTCTAGCTTTTTTGGGGCCAGAGCTTGCAAGTTAGCCATGGAGCGCACTTTCACTTATGTTCGCGGCTATTTTTTCACAAGCCCAAAAATTTTTTTCCTACGACTTTTCTTCTCATTTTCTGTTCTCTCTTACCTCTTTTTAGCATTGGAGCAAATTTGTCTCAACACAAATCTTTTCGCGGCTATTTTTTCACTTTCGATTTCGAGCTCTTTTTCTGCATTAAATTAGCCACGGAGCGCAATTTCACTTTTTTTTTGCGGCTATTTTTTCTCAAGTCCGAAAATTTTTTCTACGGCTTTTCTTTTCATTTTCTGTACTCTCTCACCTCACTTTAGCATTGGGGCGAACTTTCTCAACCCAAAAATTTTCGCGGCTATTTTTTCACTTTTGATTTTGAGCTCTTTTTCTGCTTCAAATTAGCCATGGGGCGCTTTTTGAATGAAAAAAAAGCTTTTTTCTGAATTTAGCCATGGAGCAACCTTGCCCAAGCCCATCGTTGCTCTTTTTCTTCGAACTCACCAGAAAAGTGGGACAGTAAGAGCTCCTAAGATGGAGATTGCAAAGTAGAGAACTCTCCAGCGACTGATGAAAATTCGGAAAACTCCGGCCAGCATGTATCTGAACCAAAAAATCTTCAAAAATATTTTTTTTTCTAAAAAAAACACTATAGGGGTCACTTGAAAGGTAAGAAGGCACTTTAGGGGCCCCTTAGAAGACCGCTAACTTGTTAAAATATCTATGCCGTGCTCAAAGAAATTCAAAATTATCTCTGACCCTCCAGAATTCAGTTATCTTTCTCCTTCTCTGACGACACGGAAAGATTAAAATTATATAGATTTTTTTGAGGTTTACTGTAGAATTTGGTACTTTTAGAGGTTCAAAATGTTCCAGAACCAACCCAGCGACCCAGAAAAAGTTCCCGACAAGCGGGGTCAAGGACCGAAATTCCAGCGCCACCGTCTCCATGCACAGAACGCTGCTGATCGCGTTGAAACTCTGCATTTTCAAAGTCACTTTTTCTCCTCGAAATGATGTTCCGAACCATGCTGGCGGCTCCGGAAATGAAGCGGAAGGCCAAAAATACGGTATAGGTCGGGGAGATCGCACAGATGATGTTGCTGACGACGGCGATGTAGAGGGGGATCAAAAATGTCATCCGACGGCCGAAAAGGTCCGAAAGTTGGGTAATGATCGGTTCCATCAGAAGACCGCCTGAAGGGGGAATTCGTGGAGAATGAGGAAACTTTCAAAATACAAAATTAAAAAAGGCTATTTTCAAAGATTTCGATTTTCTGGAAATTTCTAAAACTTCTTAGGAACTCCAGAGTGATCCCTCTAGGGGCAACCTTGAAAGGCTTTTGAGGGTCCCCTCTAGGGACTACTTTACCCCCTCACATAGGGGGCTTGCGAAAATGGCCCCTATAGGGGACATGCTAGTCGAATAAATAAGCATTTTTGGATGCAATTGAGACGCCCCTATAGGCTTGAGCTTTAGGAACTATGGGGTCAGACCCTTAACCCCTACAGGGACCACTTTTTCGACCCTTATAGGGGTTTTCCTACGTTAGCTCAAAAGTCACACTGTTTAGGAACGCCAAAGTGATCCCTACAGTGACAAACTTAGTGACCTTTGAAAGTGTCCCTCTAGAGACCACTTCACCTCCTCTTAAGGGGGGCTTTTAAATTTGCGAAGTGACCCCTATAGAGTTCTAGTTAGTTTGATCCGCAGGATGAAGCCGTGAACGTATAGAAATAGCAGAAAAGACAAAATTAGGAAAAAAGCAAAAAGAAAGTTCGTCGGGAGGATCCGAACTCTCGATACGTTTCATTATTTCTAGGGCTTTTACCTCTGCGCCAAGCTGGCAGATTTAATACGTCTATGAGTCCAAACCCGAAAAATCGTCTTGAACTTCAGAAAAATCTATTTTCGACAAACCAAGAAGAAAAATAGAAGCTCCATGTTCCGCGGCTTCGCTATTTTCGCAGACTAAATCAAAATCGGCGGTCAAAGTCGCTTCTTTGTCCGTGTAGTTGTAACTAAAAATAATTTTTTTTTATTTAATTAAACTTAAAATGAACTAACTATGCATTTGGGATCATTGGACAGGAAAGTGTCCAATTATTTCCGTCCCTAATGTGGCATTCGTCATTTTTTGTATATACCTGAAAATTTTCTGTTTATTTTAAAGGCGCATAGCCTAGTTTTGAAAAGGTCTCGATGCGAAAAAGCTTTTCTTGTTGATTTGAGGGGCTGGGCTAGTGGCCAATTAAGAGGTTTTCAAGGACTACCTAGAGGGGACACTAAAGTGGCCACTGAAAATACCTCTAGCCCCTTTTTGCGTCTTAGGGGTCACTATAGTAGTTTTTAGTGATCTCGGAGTACCGCTTAGGCTTCTTAAGAGGCCACTAAATTTTAGCCACTCAAGTGGTCACTAATTCGACCACTATAGTAGCCAATAAAACGTAAAAACACACTGAAGTGGCCACTTCAAAAGACTGATCAACTGGGAAGGCTCTAGTGGCCACTTAAGAGGTTCCTCAAAGGCTACTTGGAGAAAATACTAAAGTGGTCACTAAAACTACCTTCCCAGTAGCCACTATTGCGTCTTAGTGGCCACTTTAGTAGTTTTTAGTGGTCTAGGAGTGCCACTTAGACTTTTAAAGTGACCACTAAATTTTAGCCACTTAAGTGGTCACTAATTCGACCACTAGAGTGGTTAATTGAATATCAAAACCCTAAAGTGACCACTTAAAGTTTTCGCGGGCTTTAAAAGCCAAAAAATCCCTTTTGCAAACTGTTCCTGGCCTAAAACTTTAGATTTTGTTCATTTTTCGCATTTTCAAGCCTTTTTATGTTATAAAAACCACCTGAAAACGTTTTTGGTAATAATTTTTGATTTTTAAGAGCTTCAGGAAAGTTTCTATACTTCTAAAAAAATTATTTTTCTAGCTTAAAGTGCGATTTTTAGAAAAGAGGGCTCGAAATTCGATTCAGACTTTGAAAAAATCGCTCAGAAACTTTTTTTCATCCAAATTCCTGAAGAAAATCGTCATTTTTCACCAAAAATTACTCGAAATTCTCAATTTTTTTCAATTTCCCTACCCAGGTTGTGTTTTCCGGAGTAGTGATGACACAATTGAATTCGGGCGCTTCGGTCAAAAATGGCATAACCATCATATTTATGGCGAAAAGCATTTGTACGCTATTGGTGACCACGTGGGTGAGCATCTGAATCAATCAATAAATCAAGAAAAAATCGATTCTCCACCTGATAACGACCATATTTCCCAAAGGCCGACAATAATTTGTCGGCGTCCAGGTTATGGTAGTCGAAATTGACGGGGAAAGGCCGCAGGAGGCTGTGGGTTTGCTTGAAAAGTACCGTATCTCGAAAAAATTCTACAGTAACCCATGATGGTATCTACTGAAAAAGTTCCTAAAATTGGATTTGCTATCGTTTGATATACAACTCGTGTAGAAAAAACTCGTCCTAGATACGCAGGCCTACCGTAACCGGGCTACAGTAAGATGGAATGGCTCAAAAGGTTAAATATTAAATTTGAAGAGGATCTCAAAATTCACTCTTAAAATCATTAGAAAATCTTTAACTTTGGGTAGCCAATTAAACTAAAATTGACTATTTCCGGGGTACTGTACAACCATTCCAAGCGCGACCAAAACATTAAAATTGAAGCAAAATGAAGTATAAGAACGCCGGAGTGGTCCCTATAGAGTTTAGAAAAAAAACAGCTCATACAGGGGCAAAAAAGTGATCCCTAAAGGGGTGAAAGCTAGGTGGTCCCTATAGGGAATTCGCATCTGACTCCGAAGTCCCTGAAGTTCAAGTGGTCCCTACAGGGGTTTGTAAACTTTGTTTTATGTGTTGAAAACTAAAAAGACCTATAACTGGGAAACTTTTTAGTGGCCACTATAGGGTTTTAGCGTTTTAGTGGCCACTATAGTAGTCAAATTAGTGGCCACTTAAGGGGTTTAAAATCAGTGGTCTCTATAGGTTCTAAGTTACTAATAGACCACTTAGTGGCCACTTGAGGGGTCAATGGATCAACATAACTGGTCCAATCTGTTTGTTTTAAAATTATCAGAGTTACTGGAAGGAATACTGGATGAAAAACTAGTGAAGTGGCCACTAAATAGAGAACCTCTATAGTGGCCACTAGATCGGAAAATAGTGGCCACTATAGAGGTGGGTTTAGTGGCCACTTTAGTGTCCTCTCCAAGTAGTCCTTGGCGAGCCTCTATAGTGGTCACTGAAGATATTCCCAGAATGAAATTCTAGATACTTCACCTCCCCCTAAAGGGGCCACTTTGCAAGTTCTAGTGCCCCCTATGTGGTGGGTCAAGTAGTCCCTAGAGTGGTCTTTCAAGGACCCGGAGGAGACCCTAAAGGGATCACTCTGGCGATCCTAAGTAATCCTAAACCATATGCTGGCTTGAACCTTTGAAAAATAGTAGCTATTTTGCGAAATTCACTTTTTTTACTTACCCTCAAATCTTCCTTATCTTCAGAATTAAGTTCCGCCATGATTATTTAGAACATGAACCGGGCCGAATAACGAAACTGAAAACAAAAAAAGTACGAAAAATAAATGTCAATGGCAAATTTGTACATGGCCGCTGAAGCGGAAACTCAAAACTTCAATTTTTCCGAGTCAAAAAAACAGGTAATCCTCAAAATTGGAGGGAAAAGGGTAGAAATATTGATTCAGGGAGAAATTTTATCAATGGAACACAGAACAATGGATCCGAAAAGTTACAACTTTTCCAGCGAGAATCGAAGAAATGTCTCCCTTTTTTCTGCTGTTTTTAGCGCCTGATGAACAAACTTTCTTGTCTCGAAACGGGTTTATCGTACGATCGTGATGAATTGAAAATGGCGATTGTTGAAATTTCTGCACGGGGGGATGAAAAATAAGGAAGTTCAGACTACGGGCAAAGATCGTTTGGACTTTTGGTTTTTGTCTTTTTCCGTTTTTCGCTTTAGGGCAGAGTCGGAATGGTGGATAATGGCCGCTAAAAGGGAGAGGCTCAAAAAAGGCCGCAGAAAGGCAGCAAAAAGGCCGCACAAGGGCTCAAAAAAGGCAGCAAAAAGGGGGCCTTTATCATTTTTCTAAGACTTTAAAGGCTCGAGAAATGGTGGAGGAAGGGAGAGACAGCAAAAAGGGTGCATATGGGCTAAGAATATGGCCCAAAAAGGCAGCAAAAAAGGAGCCTTCATCACCCCAAAAGGAACATTTCTATAGACCTTTATGGACCCTCGGAGAGCCCTCCTGACTTTGCCTATGACTGCCAAGTCGGAAGGGTGGAAAACAGGTGTAAAATGGCCGCTAAAAGGGTCCTGTTTTGCGCCCTTTATTAAGCCTTTCTTGGTGGGCTAGAAAGCCTCAAAAAGGGTCCAAAAAGGGTCCAAAAAGGGTGAAAAAAGGGTCCAAAAGGTGCTGAAAGACTTGGCCATTGATTATTTCCGATTTGATTACTGTAGCACATTTTGGTGCATACAGTCACTAGTAAAGATTATTCTCAATTTGAAAAATTTTCTTAAAAGGTCCAAAAAGGACGGAAAAGGGCAGTGAAAATGAAACCGTCCAGGATCAATTCCTGGTAACCTTTTGATCCATAACGGACCCTTGAAGGGCCTGTAAATGTTCCTCCCGACTCTGCCTATATTTTTTTCGAGTTTCAAAGATAATTTGAGCACAAAAAGCCTAAAATCATTCGAAAATCTTATATTTTACCTGTTATTTTTCAACGAAAATCGCCACTTTTGAGCGATTTTTTTGAAAAATAAGAAGAAATATAATAAAAGACTCCTCGAAACTCAAAAAAACATTCAAAATACAAACTATAACTTGAAAAAAATACTAACATTGAACAAATTTCAAAAAAAATACTTGCTGGAAAAATTAATATAATGACAAAAAAACTTGAATAAAAAAACACTTTTTCAAAAACCGTCATTTCTATTTTAAAATATCAAAAATCCTTAAAAGGATACGAAACCAAAAGGTGAAGTGAGGTTGAAGGGCATTTTTATCAGGTGGTCTGATAACGGCCATCAAAGCTGTCAAAATGCCCAATCAATGCTTACCAAAAAATCGCTGATAATGACAATCAAGAACATGGCCGCGTATGCATCAAAGTCGATATTCTTTGAAACCTGAAAAAAAAACCTTAAATTAGCTTTTGAAAATTCTTACCTGTAGTTAAGTTCCACCGTGATTTTTGAAAAGAGAAGAAAAATTGAAAAAAAAAAAATTATTTTTTTTTATTATGAACATGAAGTGCGCTCCAGCGCACTTTTAGCCTCGTTGAAAGAAATTTCGACTCGAAATTTTTTTATATCGTTTTTTACCGCATGTTCAAAGTACTTGAAGCGATTTCAGAATTTACTTTTTTTTAAAATTTTTTCGCGACATACGAAAAATCGACAGTTGTTACAGAACGGTTCGAAAATTTGAAAATTATTCTCAACTTTTCAATTAAACCAAAAAAAGAGCGTATTTGTAACGATTTTAAAAATATCCTTAAGGACTCTAAAGAGGTCCCTACAGGGGCAACCTCAGGGGCCATTTTACCAGCCCCTATAGGGTCCACTAAAGCTTACCAAAGTTGTCTCTGTAGGGGACATGCTAGTCAATAATTGTTATGAAGAAGAAGCATTTCCATGGGAAAAAACTGAACAAATAAGCGTTTTTGAATGATATTCAGAGACCCCTATAGGGACCCCTTGAGCTTTAGGGGCTAAGGGGTCAGTCTCTAAACCCGTATAGGGGCCACCTTGATTTTACTCTTATACAACCTTCCTGGCCCCTAGTGATAAAATTTTTAGTGGCCACTATAGTGGCTCGCCAAAGACTACTTGGAAAGGACACTAAAGTGGCCACTAAACCCACCTCTATAGTGGCCACTATTTCCCGTTTTAGTGGCCACTTCAGTAGTTTTTCATTCCAGTGTTCCTTCCAGTCACTCTGATAGTTTTAAAACAAACAGATTGGACCAGTTATGTTGATCCATTGACCCCTAAAGTGGCCACTACGTGGTCTAGTAGTAGCACTTATACCTCTATAGATAGGGACCGCAGACCAATTTTCGAAAAAATTTTTTCAGTGGTTTTGAGCTTTGCATGGTTTGATAGCTGTTTCGATTCGAAACTCAGAAGCGTTTAGTTTTTCGAAAAAGATTGAGGATGAAAAAAGTTATGACGAAAAATGTGGCGCGCCGCGCACCATTTTTTTAGTACTGAAATTTTGGTATTATCCATTTTAGACATTTTTCTCGATTTTTCTTTTAGAACAAGTTTTGATACTGGTCTATTATGATGTAAGAAATCATAATAGAGCTCTAAAATGATGAAAATTAGCTAGTTTGCCGAAAAAGTCGGTATTTTCCAGAAAACAAAAAAATTGACGCTTGCGGGTATCGAACTCGCGACCTGAAAATGGAAAATCGCAGCGCACGCGCTGCGCCAAGCTGTTAGGTTTAGCGAGGGGAGCTTCCATCCGCCATACCCTTGAGCCGTTTGAATAGCACAGATTGCCTATTTCAAAAAAATAAAAAAATTTGAAGTAATTTAGCTATTTTTTTATCAGAATATGTTCGCAAATCTTTACTCAAATTTTTCCGTGGAAATTCACTTCGAAAAAAACAGTTTTTTTCAGTGCTTTTTTTGCCTCGTTTAACGATCACTGCATTAAAACGGTCCCGTAAATTTTTTTGGCAAAGACGAATTTTTTTATGTTATTTTTTTATTTGAAAGATTTTTTTCACTAATAAATGCATATAATCGTTTGAAAAACCTGCGTTCGACCGCTTTCTGTGTGATAAACGCCGCTAATTTTATTCATTTCATTTTTTTCATTTCAAGTGTTTATTCGCCATTCCGCAATCAGCACGACAAATACAAAAAAATAAAAACATCAAGACAATCAAATAAATCTAACAGCTGATCTGTGGAAACGGCTGGAGGAAAAAGATTGTCTGAGTAGACGGTGCTAACCCCCATTTGGTATTTAAGTTTGTTCTTTGAATTTTTTTAATAAGTTAGAATTTTTTTCTAGATTTTTAGTAGGATCTAATGATTTTTAAAAAAACGATGTGTTTGATTCGAACCATGAGGTGAGCATAATCTGAAACTTGCCGATTTCGTATTCAATGATAGTTTCTCTCTCCAGTTGGTTCCAAATGGGTATGACTCTATGATTTAGGAAGCGTTGTTTGATCAATTCATTCATTGGTTGAACAAGTCTCATTCCATTTCCTCTGAGTTGATTATTTCTACTCGAATTCATCATTAATTTAACAGGCGACTCACTCCAAAAATATCCATGAATGTATTTATGAACGCAACAAACATCTTTAAAAAGTCTTCTAGTCCATAACGTCGATAGTTTCAGTTTGGCTTATTCTCTATTTTCAAGAGCATTTTGCGTTTCAAACAACTTTTTCAAGCACATATGCTGTGGAAAAAAATTTAAGTAAGCCTATGGTCTAAATTTTAAAAAAATAAATACTCGATTATATTCGCTTATTAACGATATTTTGAATTAATACTTTCGGCGCTCCCTAAAAATTTTTTTGGCAAAGACGAAAATTTTTTTATTTTTATTGTTTTAAAATTACCGTTACTTGAATCAAAATCATTATTTAAAAAAAGAAAGAGTGCGTTCGACCTGAAAACACATGAAAAAGCAAAAAATGACAAAATTTTATAGTTCCATTCACGTTTTTGTACGACATTCCGCGAGAACGCATCAAAAAAGCGTGAAATATTTTTTAAACGAAAGAGGAAGCTTTTCTGTACATGTGTGTCAAAATTTATTATCCAGTTCCACATATTTTGCAACTACAGCAAAATGAAAGTTGAAAACCAAAAAAAAGCCACTTTTTCTATCGCGAAAAGGGGCGTGGCTTTGCGGTCCCTATCTATAGAGGCCACTGTTTTTTAACCCCTTAAGTGGCAACTAATTTGACTACTATAGTGGCCACTAAAAACTTTCATAGCTATAGGGACTGTTTTCTCTCCCTAACCCTATAGGGACTACTCTGGAATTCCTGAAAAAGAATTTGGTTTTTTTTTTTGCTGGCTTCTTGGTAGAGTAACAAGAAAACTGTTTTTTTGTTTTATTTCATGAAAAAGACGCTTTCCACGGTGTTTTTTTGAGCCGTACTTTTAAAAGGTGACCGTCTTGCGCAAAAAACACTAGTGCATCTTTTTTAGGTTTCTGGGTAAAGGTCGAAGAAAAGTCTGGCAGACTACCGTAAGCGATTGAATAGTGCTCCGGTCTCGTCGGAAACCGCCAAGCTAATTGCCGATAATGCCCCGTCGGCCTACTTCCCCATTATTCAAGGTTTATACTTTGACTGGCCCTTTTTTTCAATTTTTGGATCATCTGTCCGTCGGGTCATTTTTGGGTCATTTATTTGAATTTGGATAATCGAATTACGAAGAGCTGAATTTCATAAAAGAAAATATTTTTACGGAAATTTTCATTTTTTGCAAATTTTCCAGTCAAGACCCGATGCTCT